CCTGCTGACCAGCGATGTCCTACAGATGTCTCCAGAAGTTCAGTGCAGTTTCTAAGCTGAAGATACAAACTGCACCATCTTATGCCCCAGGCAGTACAGGGTTTTCTCTTCATTTAGCTGGAGTGCTGTAAATGCAGGTGAGAAGATAACACCTAACAAAGGGTGACAGAAACCTGTGTGGTGCAGGTTAAAGTGAGGGCAGAAGGCTATGCTCCCTGCAGCTGCCTGGGAAGCGCAGATGTACATAGAGACTCTAACTTTGGGAAGCATGTCTTTAGTTTTTATGCATTTTTTAATAATAAAACATGTACCGTGTCTGAGTCCCAGCCTCTTACCTGTGGCAGAGTTGGTGATGATGCTCACTTAATGGGTGGGAGCATAGGGAATTTCAGCCCCAGCTGAAAGCGTCTTTCTGCCTTCACCAAGCACAGTTAAGTTACTTCTTAGAGGCAGAGAACATGTTTGGCCTCTGCAGATGGCAGTTACTCTGCATTGCTCCAACCTTGAGACTGTGAAGGCTGAAATGTGACGGGTATGGGCCAGTGGCTCCACAAAAAGACGGGCTCTGTGGCCACCACTGTACAGGGGCCTGGGGAGAAGCCCTTTACCTGGGACATGCTGCACCATACCTGGAAATGCAAACCTGTGCATCAGTTCCTCCCTGAAGACTGGCCTGCACCCACCAAACTACTGGCAGTGCGCTCTGTGGAGGAGAGGTTTGGAGGCGGTGGGTAGAATTCAGCTGCTGAGTCAAATGTTCCAAGCACAACATAAAAGAGCCCCTGGATTCCCAGCTCGCAGAGAAGAAAAGGTGTACCTCACGCTTTTATTCTTCATCAGCAAACAGCACGTTGCACGCCCTCTGCCTGCCAGCTCACACGGAGAGGAAGAGTGATGGTAAACGGTACAAGCACTCACCCCCCATCTGCAATGCAGGAAAAACGACTTCCGAAGCACGAAGTGCCTGGTTTAGTTAATATTTTAAGGTTCCGTTGCCCAGTGATGTCTCTTGGATCTGTTCAGATGATGATTTAATCCTGTCGCACGCAAGCCTGGTCAGGTCAGGTACAAATTAGGCTGTGTTGTGGGTGGGAGAAGCAACACCAGAAGAGCCAGAGAGAAAAGAGGTAGGGAAGGAGATTTTAAAATGGGGACAGACAGGACAAGCTGGGAAAACAGCAAACAAGGGAGCTGGAAAGCAGAGATGGGGAGTTTTATATGTGAAATCCCAGAACAGAGGAGGCATAGCCCCAGCTGGGACCAGCCAGGGGCCTGGCTTTGTGTTTTGGTGAAGGATGAGGTGCTCTGGGCCAGCCCTGGTGCTCTGCAGTGTGTTGCTCTTACACTGTGTAGAGGCTGCCCACAGCTGCCCTGGCTCTGTGACCCTTTAGCCTGGCCATTCTGACCTAGGCACCAGGCACACTGGTTTCCTAACTAAACCAAATGTTTCCTCCACAACCACCCTTCTTTTCCCTGCCTCAGTACAACAGTGCAGTCCCTCCCATCCTCCCAAGCAGATGAGCTTTAAGGTCCCTTCCAACCTAAACCATTCTATGGTTCTAACACAGGCTCAAGCCACTTAGTGCAGTTACCAGCTGGGTTGTGAGGCAGCGTGACCCCACAGTGCCTAGTGTGGGCACAGCAGAAGCTCACAGCACCATCTGTACTGTGCAGAGGTAGTTAATGCATAAGGAGAGATGCTCCCATCAGCTCCAGTGCCAGGGCTGACTGATGGGCCCTAGACCATGGGCTGCACTGGCAGCTCAGCCTGCAGATACAAGGATGCTCTGGCCCAATCTGATACCTGCACACTGTGGGGAATAGTGTGCTCAGGGCTGACAGCTCAGCAGGTGCTTGTAGTGAGTGAATATACCTCAGAGCTAATGTACAGCTCCCCTGGGACCTGCCACGTTGCTTCCTCACCTGTGCTGGGAGACAAGTCTTGCAGTCTTGATGTAGTAAAAACACTCCCTGAAGTCAACTGCAATTAATTTTGAGGTGAAGCTTGAGCCTGGCTGACCGGAGAAAGGAACAATATTTGCACATAGATAATCTCCTGGTTTACATTGCGTATTCATTCTCCCCTGATGCCCAACAGCCACCAACTTCTGCAAAGTCTCCTATTTTTTACCAGGAACTTCTGTGAAGGACCCTCATACACAGTTCTAATTTTATACCAACTCCTATGTAACTCCTGATATTCTCCCTTGAAACAGCAAGTTGTTCTACAAACACTCGGAGCAAAGGAAGCCTGCTATCCTGTGGATTTGCATCCCATGGGGGATTGCAAGCCCGAACTGAAGCTTGCCCCTAGTTAAGGTACTTAGAAGACCTTTTCCCTTGTTGGAGTCTGTGGTGTTTAACACAAAGCCCCTGAATTTCTATCTGCGGTGAAGGTACTGATGTGGCAATAATGGAGTCAGCCACACACAGCCTGTTTTCAGAAAACTTGTAGGAAATTCATTATCCTTCAGTTCACAATCTTCCCATCACATTTGTCTGAAATGACGCCGTGGATTCAAAAGCTATTAGGGCCAACACATGTAGCTGGTGATCAGAAAGCTTTGTTACCATGGGAAACCGAGCTAGAAATCAATTACTTAGTCCAAGAGCAAAAAAGACCAATGGACATGGGTTTTGATTGCATTTGCTCTGTCATATAAAAGGAACTCTGCATCAGAATGAATCAGACCTCAATCATTGCACTGAGGACTAGTGACCAAACAAAGATGATCAGCTCCTCACTTATTAATGTCTCTGTGGTTCTCCAACTCGAGGCATGCAAAGCCAAGTCATTCCCAAGCATGGCTGCACTGGAGAAATGGAACATCTTTCGGTCACATTTAACGAAAGGACCTAAATTAGGAGGCAGGTATTTCGGCAGCACAGTTCCTGGCTGCCACTGAGCCCAGCTCTCCGGGTGGGTGCTCCAATGAGCCACCAGCCACAGCCTGGAAAGCATCTAAACAGCTTTGGTTTCCACCAGGTTTTTTTCACTGGCTTAAAATAGAACTGAAAGAAACGTTTGGCCTCAGGAAATAGACGGCATTTGTTGATTTGAGTTTTGTTAAGTTC